TTTTCGGGTGTAAAAAGGACGTCGGGGAATTTTGACGAATTGGCAAAACGTCAGGGAAAACCCAGATGTATGGCAACATGATGGAAAAAGCTCCAAAGGTTTAAAATCAATATTTTGGGAGGAGGTTTTGTTCTCCTGCAAAAGCTCAATTTTGGTGGTTACCTAAAAAGAAGCTCAGCAATTTTGGAGGCTTCCTAAAAAAAGTTCAACAACTTTGCAGGTGTCAGGAATTCTACTTTTTGAAATATGGCAACCCTAACCTTTATGGCTAGGTTGCTGCTTTTACGTCCTTTGCTATGAGCTTTCTCCTCTGTCTTGAGTGCACACAAACTGCACTTGCTGCCGCCTCTTGGCAGAACATCCTGTTATGACACCAGATCAAATGCAAACCTTTTGACACCGTCACCAGAGTTATTCAATCGCATTACCTTCGCTGTTTGTTATCCCGGGAAGGGCCCTGGAAATCACACTTGCCCTTATTAAAGGTCTCCACTAATATGGAGGGGGAAAAGAAAAGATTGCCGAGCAGAAAAGATCTGTTTGCATTTAAACAAGTAATGCCAGTCCGCTTGGCTCGTGTGCAAGATCTTAAATAGGTCCCGTTCCTTCGCCCTTTCCGTGGCCCCCTGCTGTTGCATGCCACTGCAAAAGAAGCTCTCAGCAAAAGTTTGCAAGCTATGGTGGCAGGGTGGGGGAATCTAAGTTAGGAAAGTCCCTTGTGAACTGGATGACACCAAAGCTTAGTTCAGCTGCTTCTTCCCCAGTCCAAAGTGAGAGTAAACAAGAAAATTATTTCTGCAGAGAGAGAAAAAACAGTTCCCTACTCTTGACTCCCACCCTCTCTGTTAAACGAGAATGACAATTAGTGGTGACATTTATCCCTAAATCTGCTCACCTTGAGCTATGCAGGACTATCGACATAATATTAATATGTGTTTGTGTGTGCAGATATCACGTGTGCCTCATATTTGTGAGTTATAGCAGGACAGATGGAAGGGATACTTTGCAAATGACACAATCTTTGTCCTTGCAGTTGGAATTCCTGGGAAAACAGTGTCTGCTGACGGTCACAAGAGAGGCTGAAAAATAAGTGTAGGTTTGTTGTATCTCCACGGGCGGCTGCTGTTGAAACCAAGGCTTGTTTTGTAACTACCTGGCTTCAAAACAGCCCTCTGTAATTACTAACAGGACTGGACTCGGCCAGCGCTCAGCTCTCATAACTTGGCTCCAGCGTCAACTGCTATCGTGCGAGGCTCTCCGCAATCACATGCACACATAATGCCTTGCAAGATCCGAGCAAGACACAGGATCAAAGAAATGCACCCTTGTTTTTCCTCGAGTTGCCATTTGCTGGCCGGCGACCCAATGTTGTTTACCTGCTGTGGACTGTATTAAGTGAGGGGGGGCATGATTACCTCGTGCCTGGGAGTTATTTGTAAAGGGGAACTTTGCAGCTAATCCCCCTTTCTGCTCGATAAGAGTTATGGGAGAGATTAGCAGGAGTTTTGCCACTGGGTCAAGTGCAGAAACCCTCCTGGAGCCCAATAGCTCTCATTTCTTCTACAGAAGTCCACAGCACCTGGCGGTTACAGGCACATCACAGCCCCTCTCTGCAGGAGAAAGTCAACTCAGGCACCAGAAAACAGCCTTTCCAGAAGTATCACCTGGCAAACTGTATAAAGCCGACATCCTTGAGAGCACTAGGTTTAGTGGGGCTTATTTCCTAATAGGTGTTTGTAGAATTGCAGGCTTGGTGGCTTCTGTTAAGTGAGGGGGGAAAGTGCCCTAATGTTTCACATGCTAATCTCCCCTGCGGATGCCTAAGTAAGTAGGCATGGCTCCTTGATGTTAATTTATTTGCTGCACCCTCCAGTGTCCATCTGCCACGAAGCACGTTCTTCAAGCTATGCATGCAAATCTGCACAGGTGCAATGAGTAAGGAGTGCAAGGATTTAAATTTCTGAGGTTTGGCAAAAGCTGCAACAGGGACCGAAAATCTTCTCCTATATCGTCGCTCTAACTGCACGGCAGGCCAACGCTCTGCTGTCCATGAGTTAAGCTGGTGTAAATTCAGCATCTATCCTTGACAAGAATGGATTCCTTTTCAACAACAGAAATATCCTAGCCCGGGATAGAGACTGTACATATTGTGTGTATTCCTCAGCATACCAGCCTCATATTGCATATATCATACAAAGCTTTTCCATATATATATGTGTGTGTGTGTGTGCATATTTAAAATAGTGCACATGTGATTCTGCTGCCTATAAATCTACTAGGTATATTCCTGAAACTGTGTCAGATTTATATAACCTTCCCGGCTACACATGATATTTCTCTCTAGGAAACTGGCTGTTGACTTCTAGGAAAATGAGTTGAGTGTTTATGACCTTTCAAATACTAATCTCCCTCCAGCTTGCCTAAATACAAAATAGGTAAGCACGGCTGTTTAGCATCCATTTATTTATAATATCCACCAATGGGCACCTGCTCATTGCTTTTCTTTTCCAGTCTTGATTAAATATGCCATATTCTTCTCTTTCTCCTTTGAAAATTGGTAGCTTTTTGCAAAGTGTCTTATGGGAAAACCTAGAATGGCTTGTTTGTGTGTGTGTGTGTGTGTAAATACTGTATATAAATTTGTTTTATTTGCTTTAAAAGCAGGTATAGGAATGGGCAGAAATAGTCAGATCTGCACTATACCAATTTAAACTGGGAAACCGCCGAGTTTAAACTCCCCCTGCCCCTGTGGTCCGTATCCAAATTGGGCCCAGCCCATGGCTGCTTTAAAATGTGGTACATGACAGATCTTATCCATGGATCTCCCAGTCACATCTAGTTTGGCCTGTAGGTCTGAACTACATGTAAAACAGAAGATCTGTGATCAGCTCTCCTGACTTCAGCTTAAAAACAGCTTTCCTGTCATGCTTTGGGATAGGGGAAAGGAAGAATGTATTTCACGTACCATCAAATGGTAGCAAGCTGAATGTAGCCCCTCAAAGTTCTGTAATAGTCACATTTTGCATTTTATTCATATAACACTTCTACACCAAAAAGACCCCCCAATAGCATCTTACAACAATGAAACATCGATGAAATAATTGCAAAGAACAATTAAACCATAATAAAACAGATTAACACAAGTGTTGCTAGATGCACATTAAAAATCGGAACTAGCTGCATATTCCAGGGTCCCTTCCTAATCTACAATTCTGTGATTCTAATTCGCAGTAAGCCTACCCAAATGACAACAGAGAACGGGCAAGTCTAACCTCCCATTGGAGATAATTCACTGGCTGAAGTTGTCTTGGTGACAGAACAAGATTTCCAAAGATGACCATAGTTGACAGGCGAGTTCATGAAGAGGTCTTTCAAATATCCTGGTCCACAGCCACTGGGGTTTCATAACTAGCAACTAGCACCTTGACTTGAGCCCAGAAATGAATAGGATGCTATTACAGTTTAAACAAGACCAGTATAATATGGGCAAAAGAGCATACACCAGATATTATTATGGCTGCAGTATTTTCTACCACCTGATGTTTCCAAATCCCTTTTAACAGCAGTCCCATGAAGTGTGTATTGCAGTTATCTAATCTGGATGCAACCGAGGCATGGGTGACTGTGTCAAAATTTGCTTTGTCCAGGAAGGGGTGCAACTGGCAACACCAATCCGAAGTGGGCCACATCAGTCACCTTACCACCCAGAAAAAAACACTAGGTCCAGAAGTGTCCCCAAAACTATGAACCACATCCTTCAGAGGAACTGCAGTCCTGTTCTCCACAGGTTGTACTTTCAATTCCAGGTCAGAAAGTCAACAAATGGAGTGGCTCAGTGAGTCAACAGACACAGGATTTACCTCAAATTGTTTCTGTACTGGATTTGAAATGGTTGTTATATACGTATGAAATCCTTTTATGCATGCTTTTACCGCTGATGGTTTCTATTGTTAAATCACTTTGACATACTTCCTATGAAGCAATTCATACAAAGAATGTAACAAATAAGTAGGATTTTGTTGCCAGTCCACATCCCCTGGCTCTTCAGGTGCAATTGTGGTCTGTCAAGCAGTTCTTGTGTAAGGTTACTACTATAGGGTGCCTGGGAAAGAGTAGAGAAATTCCTTGTTTTATTAGAAACTGTGTTGATGGAGGCAGGAATAGGGGCAGGGGTGGGTGGTGCCTCAGTCAACACCATGCCAGAGAACTGTTTTACTGAATTCTGTTGCTCCACTGACCGAAGCTCTGAGCCACATGAACCTTGGAAACTGAGTGAGCACAGGCAGTTCCCAACAAGATGTCCTAAACAAATACCAGAAATGATCACCCAACCTGTCACACTTTAACTTAGGACTACCTTACGTTCCACCTCTTCCCCCTGCCATCGATAAAGCCGCCTGATTGAAGAGTGTCAGGAAGGCATCCACTCGCGTGCTTCAACTTTGTTCCCTTCACCCTCTGTGTTTCTTGGCATATTTAGCAAATTCACACTGGTGGGTCAGAGAGCAACGCTTCCATGTCCCTGATGCACGAACTGGACCGGCAGGAATTTTCCAAGAGCCCAACTCTGAGAATACAAATGCACCACCGTTAGATAGTTTGTCGGGATGATCCAAGTTAAGTAGCAAGCAAAGTCTTTCCAGGAAATCTGTGTTTATGAACTGTGTGTGTGTGTGTGTGTGTGTGTGTGTCCGTGGAGGGGGAGGGAATGGAAGTTTTGCCAGGTGGTCTGTTTGTTTTTTTGTTTGTTTTTTAAAAAAACTCTCTTGCTTAGCATAGGTTGAATCTGGGGATTATCACAACTGGGAGGAAACTTGCTGGATTCTCTAAACAGTCTCTGTCATGAATGGCACTGGAAACCAGCCAGTTGGCTGGCTCTTGCTAAGATGATGCCAAGAAAGAGTGTGGAAAGGGTGCCATTTTTTAAAAAAAGTTAATAGCCCAAAGTTATCCCAGCAGGTTTCTTCTTCATTAAGCAAGCTGCAAGTACCGTAGGTGTCCGTTCATCCTGATAGGGATTGTTGTTCTCCAGATGAACATATTAAAAGAACAACAAGCCTTAGGATAGTGCAAGTGCCCCCTCAGAGGATCTTGGTGATCGAGGGAGAAGGTAAGGAATTAGATGTAATTTGTAATTTATTATTTGTACCCCATCCATCTGGCTGGGCTTCCCCAGCCACTCTGGGCGGCTTCCAACAAAGATTAAAAATACATTAAAATGTCACACATTAAAAACTTTAGATGTCTTCAAAATGTCAGGTAGTTGTTTATCTCTTTGACATCTGATGGGAGGGAGTTCCACAGGGTGGGCGCCACTACCGAGAAGGCCCTCTGCCTGGTTCCCTGTAGCTTAGCTTCTCGCAGTGAGGGAACCTCCAGAAGGCCCTTGGAGCTGGACCTCAGTGTCCGGGCTGAACAATGGGGGTGGAAACGCTCCTTCAGGTCTACTGGGCCGAGCCCGTTTAGGGCTTTAAAGGTCAACACCAACACTTTGAATTGTGGGAAACATACTGGGAGCCAATATAGGTCTTTCAGGACCGGTGTTATATGGTCTCGGCGGCCGCCCCCAGTCACCAGTCTAGCTGGTTCTCTTAAGATGCTGGGCTGTGTGCTAAGGAGGTGCCCCAGTCACTGTGAGTTCATTATCACTCTCTGTGTAGACGGCATGTGGTCATCATTACAGGAACTGTTTTGGGGCATCAATGGCGTTTCCAGGGATGCCATGAGCACACCTGCTCTTTTTGGGATTTTGGTTTGGAGTTTTCTGGTTGCGTGCTTCCCCTTGCCCTGAGAATCCGCGTATACAAGGGGCCGGGCACCAAAGTGTAGTGACCATTTTGCTGGTGAAGCAGTGGATTATCTCTCCTACTGGCTTTTAATTTTGAGCATAAGCTTGTTTTGTCATAGGACGAATCATCGGCAGAGGCGAGAGTCGGGCATTAATGCAATGCATCAACCACATGGGGCACAGAGCAGGTCTGCACTAGGTTGCCCTGCCTCTGACGTTGCATGTTCTACCTCTGACATCCGCACACTGAGTGTGCACATCTGTAGGGATGTAACAGGCGTCTCCAGGCTCTGGAGCCCCAATCATTCAGGGTTACAGATCTGGGGGTGAATGCCTCCCTCCCTGATGTATGTGTAGACATCAGAGATGCATACATATAAAAACATAATAAAACATGGAACATTAAAAAGCTTCTCTGTACCGAGTTGCCTTCAGATGTCGTCTAAAGGTTGTCTAGTAACTTATTTCCTTGGCTCCGGGGTTGCTCCACACCCTCCAACATTTCTCCACTGAAAATAGGGACATCCTACGCTGTGGTGTAAACCACTGAGTCTTGGGCTTGCTGATCAGAAGGTTGGCGGTTCAAATCCCTGTGATGGGGTGAGCTCCCGTTGCTCGGTCCCTGCTCCTGCCAACCTAACAGTTCGAAAGCACGTCAAAGTGCAAGCAGATAAATAGGTACCACCCTGGCGGGAAGGCAAACAGTGTTTCCGTGCGCTGCTCTGGTTTCGCCAGAAGTGGCTTAGTCATGCTGGCCACATGACCCAGAAAAACTGTCTGCGGACAAACGCCGGCTCCCTCGGCCAGTAAAGCGAGATGAGCACCGCAACCCCAGGGTCGTCTGTGACTGGACCTAACAGTCAGGGGTCCTTTACCTTTTTTTTTTTTAAGGAAAAGCAGGACATTCCAGGATTAAATAGCTCAGTTGGTTAGAGTGTGGTGCTGATAATGCCATGGTTGCAGGTTTGATTCCCGTATGGGAAAACTGCATATCCCTGCATTGCAGGGGGTTAGACTAGATGATTTCCAGGGTCCCCTCCAACTCTACAATTCTATGAAATTTGAAACCTGGAGGGCTCCTGTAAATCTGGGACCATTCTTGGAAAACAGGAACCCCTGGAGGGTCTGCGCCTGTGTCATTCAACATGGAAACTCTTAATTCCCCAACAGAACAAAATCCAGTTCGCTCTCCAAATGGCTTACGAAAATCCATTCAAGCAATGACAGGGATATACCATGCCATATTAGAAGCAAAAAAACTTGTTTTGATGAATTGGAAGAGCCGCAAAAAGATCCCATTGAGCACATGGATTGACAATATGGACAGACTAGTTACATATGAACGAATTGCATATTGACGCAAATTAAGAATGGATAAATATGAAGAAATCTGGAAGGAATACTTAAGCGATAAGGTGGACAGTGGTGGGAAGTAGGGGGAGGAGAGGTGGGGAAATATTGTTTAAAAGGTGTAGTATAGGTATATCAGTACTCAAATCTGAATTGTTAAATTGTGTTATTAATGTTTTGTGGTTTTTGTTGTATGTGTTTTTTGTGGTTGCTGTTTGTATTGAAAAAATGATTAAATATTTTTTTTTAAAAAAAATGACAGGGTTTTGGAACTCAATTTGTTTCACCTGTACTTTCACTCTCCTTTCTTTCTCCTGAATTTTTCAGTTCAGCTTGATTTTGTATGTGTGTGCCTGCGCAACATGGTATATGTGTTCAGGAAATTTGGAGGGTGGGGGCAGCTATTGATATATAACCTAACAGAGTAAGAAAACAAATTGCAATGTCTCTGGCAAAGTGTGAATGGATAAAACTGGGGGAGGGGCACCCCACAAAACAATCCATTGGATGATGATGGTGATGATGATGATGATGATTTGCAAGTAATGGGAATCGTATCAATTAAATTGGCAATTTTCATTGCTGTCCTTGCTGAGCTAAAAGCATTTGAAAGCGCTCTGAAACAAAATGCCAGGTCATTTTACTACCAGAGTTTTTTCAGGAACACAATGCCCCCGCCCCAGTCTTGCTCCAGGACTCCAGAAATCTGCCCAGCAACCAAGCCACACTCCATCTGCTGCCTCCCATAATGAGCTAAGCCAGGATCTCTGGCACAAGCCAACTTTCATTCTTCTATTCACTTGGATTTACCCTTTCAGTTTCCCATTGTTCTTTGCTAATGGCCTCACAATGGCCCTCCCTGTTGCCTTTGCAAGGCAGAACCCCGGCTAAATTGAGGGGGGGTGGGGGGGGAGAGCAGAAGAGGCATAATCTCGGCTTCCAAATTTAAAGGGATTGCTCTGAATGAATAATGCAAAGGGAGCGGCTGCCAGGAATGTGTATAATAGGGCTGCCTGCAAGCAGAGGATGTATAGCACTTTTCCGCCATCAGCTGCTGTGATGTGTTGGGCCTCTGAGTGTCATGTCCCAATATTTCATTCCAAGCCTCCTCCTCCTTCTCCCCCCTCTCCCCCCCTCCTCCATCCCTTGCAGGGCCACATGGCCTCCCTTGCGTCATCTTTTCAAGCCTAGCGTCAATCATGCGGCAAAGATGCCCCAGATAGTATGACAGATGGAGCTACCTTAGTTTAAGGCTAGATGGAGGCCTGAGGGCATGCCTTGATAGCTCAATTCCATGGTGGGGAGCAAGAGAAAGAGGGAGGGAAGGAGGGAGGCAAAGCTGCTCTAGGAGGTATCATTTCAACCTGGCTACTTGTACAGCAGAGGAGAAGAACCCACCTGTATCTGTTTCTTTGTTTGCCTTCCAGGCGCTCTTGAAATTACCAAAGCAGAGTGTTGATGTAGCTTCATAATGCAGTGGAGGAGAACACACACACACACACACACACACACACCCAATCAATCAATCAATCAATCAATCATAGAATCATAGAGTTCGAAGGGACCATGTGGGTCTAGTGCATGGGTAGCATAGCTGTCCATCTTCCCCTTTTTTTTGCAAGAAATTCCCTTATTCCAGCGCCGTTTCCCGCTGCTTCCCGCTGCTATCCCAGATTGTTAGATATCCCGTAGACTGTCCCCGGGACAGGTGAGGCTGCTGATCCCTTATTTTTGAGGCTGCTGATCCCTTATTTTCAAATCTGAAAGTTGACAGCTATGATGGGTAGGCAAACTAAGGCCCGGGGGCCAGATCCGGCCCAATCGCCTTCTAAATCCGGCCCGCTGACGGTCCAGGAATCAGCGTGTTTTTACATGAGTAGAATGTGTGCTTTTATTTAAAATGCATCTCTGGGTTATGTGTGGGGCATAGGAATTCCTTCATTTCCTCCCCCAAAAATATAGTCCACCCCCCCACAAGGTCTGAGGGACAGTGGACCGGCCCCCTGCTAAAAAAGTTTGCTGACCCCTGGTTTAGTGCAACCCCCTGCAACCCAATAATCTTTTGCCCAATGTGGGGCTTGAATCCATGACTCTGGGTCATGCCCCATCAACTGAGATATCACAATGTCTCTCATACATATTGCACCACACGTGTATTGCTTGTGGAAAGGAGGAAAGAAAATCGAGAGAAAACATGCTTTGAAAGAGCAGTCCGATGCGACTCAAGAAATGTCATGGAATTTGGAGAAAGGCTTTGAGAGACTGGGTGGTGTAGGGGTTAGAGCATCAGACTAGTACTGGAGAGAGCCAGGATCAAATCCCTACTCAGACACTGAAGATTCTTGTGTGATCTTGGGCTAGTTACTATCTCATGTCATGTCGTTGTTGTGAACATAAAAATGAGGCGGGGTATAAATAATACATTATTATTATTATTATTATTATTATTATTACAATGCCTTGAGCTCCTTGGAGAAAAGGCAGAATATAAATGTAATAAAATAAAGGAAGCATTTTTTAATATTATTATTATAGTTTGGGTCACTTGTACATGCCAAAAAAAAAGCAAATCGGGGCACCCCACCCACAGGAAAACCTATGAGTGAACATCGAGTGGCGTGCATGGATAAGAGAGAACCATTTCAGCAGCAGGGAGCTTCTGCTTAAGACAATCCTGTCTGTGAGCAAGAGAATACAGTGGTACCTCGGGTTACATACGCTTCAGGTTACATACTCCACTAACCTAGAAATAGTGCTTCAGGTTAGGAACTTTGCTTCAGGATAAGAACAGAAATCGGGCTCCGGCGGTGTGGCGGCAGCAGGAGGCCCCATTAGCTAAAGTGGTGCTTCAGGTTAAGAACAGTTTCAGGTTAAGTACGGACCTCCAGAACGAATTAAGTACTTAACCCGAGGTACCACTGTAACTCAGAATCCAACACATCAAGTTCGACAAAACCTTAGGGCCATTCTGGGCGTGTATTTTGACACAGTTAGGGAAATCAGCAAAATGTCCAGGCTTTTGAAACAACTTTCCTTAAAGAAGCTCAACAACACCTGCCCCCCCCCCCCCGCCAAGAGCTCAACAACTTACTTTGGGCGATTTTACAAAAAATTGTGTCCAGGTTTTTACTCCTTGAAATATGGCAACCCTAGACACAGGAATAGTGCGCCAGTTGGTGGATTTATTCTGCTTCAGTTTGTTCTGAGATGCTTCCTCAAGGCTACTGCGTGATCACTGTCTGCAGGGGCTATAGCATAACAAAAGCGGGACAAAAATAAAGCGGGACATTAAAAAGGGATGGGATTTCCGCAGGAAGTCGTGGGGTATGCGCTGGTGGCAAATAAAGCAGTGTGACCACCCAAAAACTTTTGCAGGTGCAAGCAGAATTGAAAGGGGGATTGTGTACGACCGTCCCGATAGCATCGTGAATGCAAATCATTATGAATGCACCCAAAAAAGACACATGAGTGGGTGTGGGGCTTAATGGAATAAGCTAAAGCGATTCAGTTAGGTAAAGCAAATGAAGGTGCTGAAATCACTTTGCAACCTGGAAGTGCTAGAAACTTGCATCACAGTGGAGAATGATGATAATAAACTGCAGTGTAAAACTGCCTTCCCAGGCAGATTCCCATGCGAACGAATCCCACCAAAATGAGCGAGATTAAGGCTGCAGTCTTATCTGGGTGGAAACCCCCTTGAGCTCAGTGATGCTCACTTTGGAGTGGACTTGTATGGAACCGCCTTTTCCTATCGATAAAGGTAAAGGGTAAAGGGACCCCAGACCAATAGGTCCTGTCATGACCGACTCTGGCATTGCGGCACTCATCTCGCTTTATTGGCCGAGGGAGCCGGGGTGCAGCTTCCGGGTCATGTGGCCAGCATGACTAAGTCACTTCGGGTGAACCAGAGCAGTGCACGGAAACGCCGTTTACCTTCCCGCCGGAGCGGTACCTATTTATCTACTTGCACTTTGACGTGCTTTCGAACTGCTAGGCTGGCAGGAGCAGGGACCGAGTAACGGGAGCTCACCCCGTCGCGGGGATTTGAACCGCCGACCTTCTGATCAGCAAGCCCTAGGCTCTGTGGTTTAACCCACAGCACCTCCCGCATCCCGAGCCTGGTTTAAATCCTGTTCTGTTTTCCATCTGATTTTTGCAAGGAGAAACCTCCCCGCATAGCCTCTTTTCCTTCACCACCTGCACCACTGATATTCGGAGCCTCCTGAGCTATTAACCTTAATATTCCATGCCCAAAGCAAACTTATTATTTGTGGGCATCTTGGCTTGCAAATGCTGGTTTAATATAAGAGCTGCTTTCTCTGTACGTGTGCGTGTGGACGTGTGCCCTATCTGTACATTTGTCTATGTGATGGATGGCCTCTCCCTGGTCAGCTGGGTCTCTCTCTCTCTCTCTCTCTCTCTCTCTCTCTCTCTCCAGACCTGCTCTTCCTGGACGCCTGCGTTGGAGCTGTTCACAGTCCAGGCGCATGGCTGCAGTCCGGCATGCAAATGAGCTGAAATGCTTTTGCCCTCTGGCTCTTGGAGCTGCTGGCTCCCGCAGAGCCATTCAGCAGGTGCTAAGCAGAGGGCAGGTGTACTGTTCACCATATGTTGCACTCGGGAGACAATTTCCTTCAAGTTCTTGAAATTACAAGCCAGGTGAAGAGGAAGCAAGTAAAAACATGTGCGCTTTGCAGAGCAGGGCAAGCCACCTGCTTTATACAGACTGGCAAGGTTTGCTTGTTACAAGTCCTGCTTAATATTGCTCCATACTGAAATGATTTCCTAAAGGCAACAGCTGTGGAAAGGAATCCTTTGTTTCATTTGCTCCCTTACCTGGTGTATGCATAAGCTACAGAGTGATCGTGCACACTTATCTCGGGCCTGAGATTATGAAGGGCCTGTGCCTCTTCCCAAGCACTGAAACATCCCAAACAGTAGCATGCAGTGGAATACCATGGCCTCATAACACTTTCCACAGAGGCACTTAGATGGTGTGCGGGGTTTGAAGAGAGCCACACTTATGCTATGTCTTAGAAGCTGAAAAAGGGTCTCTTG